AGTTGTCCGTATTTAGAGTTGTTTGGAAGTTCCTGTGTGTGTTTAGCGGCGATGGCCGCACTATCCCGGCCTTTTTCGACGTAGTTTAAGGCCTCCCAAATGCGCCTGCAAATCGCCGAATGGGCTCGTTTTCGTCGTGACACTTGTCGAACTAAATGCGTTTAAGGGGCCCTGAAACACTTGTTTCAAGTAACCATGGAATGAATGATCAGGTATAACTCGACACACAAAGCACTGGCTTCTAATAAACATACGTTTACAAGTCTGCATATGAATATATAAAACAGTAGAATGTGTAGAATGTCAAGGTATAACTTTAAAGTAGCCCTGAAACACTTTTTCAAGTAACCATGGAATGAATTCTCTGGAAGAGCTTATTGCCTCGCGAATTCAAAGCCGCAAAAATTTTAAGAATCCATCCAGTCCATGGAAGTGAAGTTACAAAGGTTTGTCGCATGCTGCAATTTGCATTATCTCTGCTCTCGTCCCGACGAAAGCGCTGGAAGCTAAACAGGGAGGGTGGCAGGAGGCAAAGTAACTACTTTACCTGCGCCTCGTGACCTTGAGCAGATTTTTCTTCGAATGCGCGGCTTCTTCAGTGTGATAGCGCGGGCACGCGTGGACAAGTAGCCGTCTCCTGCGGCGATCTCTGTAACTTGCTTTTTCGCTCACGGACGGAATTTCTTGCTCACAACCGACGGCGTGGTTTCTGCGACACGAGCTCTCTAACGCTATCGCGTTAAGAAGATCCGCTCGCGCTTATGTTGGCACTGGGCCGCATGAAACCTACACAGCGTCCTCACGGTTATGCCGGGCAATGTCATGTTCGGTTACACTTGCAGATGGTTGCGTTATTTTCGGTAGTATTGCATTAGAGAACGCCGCCTATAACCTGGCAACCGGCTTTCCGCGTGCGCGCCTTCATTCGACCCACTGTAGAGTTCTCCCAGCCATGCCGCGGTCGATAGCTGGTGCGTATATCGAGCTGCCTTTGTCAACCGACTAGGGGCGGTTGCGTTGTCGTACATCTACTTCAGGTGGTATTTAAAGGACTCATTATAAACAAAAAAGGGCGCCCTAACCGGAAACATGCCGTTTGTGGTAGCGGTCACGTCGTCAAGGGTGGTATACGTGGTGATTGTCTCCCTACTGACAAAAGTGCGCCTACTTTTAAACTAATGAGCTCAGCAATCTCATTGTAATCACGAAATTGAATACCGGTCTTGTTAAAGCTATTCCTATTATAACGTGTCGCATGCATTCCTATTATTTCATGTTTCATCCGTGATATTATGGAAAGTTAATGACGTTTCTACGGAATCCACACATATATGCTCCGTAAGATTATACAGACTTTTCGGAACGGCGTACGGAACGTTTCAAGAAGGATATATCTGCTTTTGGATCCGGGGAATTGCAATTGACCGCGGAACTACGGCATGACGAATTCAGAAGTGTGACAGCCCTCAAAACTGACACTTGGACAGCAGTGTCGCGCATATTCGCACTCATCGAAGCGGTGTTGCTGCTTGCTTATGCATGGTTACTTGATTGGGCCAGTTTGTAGGTATTCACTGTTACGTCATTGCGCACTGCTTGTGCACTGCTTGAGATGAAGGACTAGACGGGCACAAGCGCAAACTTTCAACTGAATTTATTGGACAGACACATCATGCTTTTATGCAATCGCGTTTCATGGTTATATATAAAGAAAGGTTTACAAAAATAAATCGCGAACATTTTTAAACAGTACAATTCAAATGACCAGTAATGCTGTGGTAAAATCTTTTTTCTGTAACCATGAAACGCGCGATTGGATAAAAGCAGCATCGTATGTCTGTCCAATAAACTTAGTTGAAAGTTTGCGCTTGTGTCCGCCTATTTCAGATGATCGCCAGAAGAGCCGCGACATTTGGCAAGGAATTTGGAATCAGTTTGGCAAAAGGACATCCAAGTAAAGCTATCAACTGGCCTAGATTGATTGATTGTACCTTTAGAACACCTATCTTCTTTAGAACACCATCTTCGTCTATAGTTCTTCGTCTTTGACGCAGTGCGCAATAACGCAACATTGAATCGCCGCTTACGTCACTGAACGGCGGCTAATCAGCGCTCGGCATAAGCGTCGCACGGAGTGTTGACGGCGCGGCGCTATTTACCCGCCGTTCAGTGACGTAACCGCCCCCTATTTTTCAATCTCAGTGCAGGGTAGCATATCAGGCAGTATAACTTCTGGTCAACCTCTATGCCTTCTTCCCTTTATCGTCTCTTTTTTCTCTCCCTAGGATGAAATTCTGAATTACGATTCGTTCACTAATCTTATTTTTTCACAAGTTAATAACACACTGTTGTTATTCACTACCTTTTGTCAACAGTCAATACACACAGCCACTTCCGCTAACGGCCGGCGGAGCTCACCTTTGATTTACGAATAAGTATTTTCGAATAGAAAGTATTCGTGTAAATATTCGATAGATCCTTAGCAATTAGAGAGCGCTGTTCCTTGGGCTATTTGATAATAATAATAATAATAATAATAATAATAATAATAATAATAATAATAATAATAATGTTTATTTTTCATCAATAGTTTGATGAAGGACAGCTGCAGGTAAAAGCTGCTCTCCAAAAGAGGCAGCTTGACAAAGGCCCACAGCTACCTTTTAGCACGACAGCAGTGGCAAACAATCAGCAATGTGAAGTCAACAACAATAACAAAAACACTAAATAAATAAATAAATAAAAATAAAGATATAAAAATTGGAATCGTATGCTGGATTTTGATTGCTCAGGAAGGCAACGACGTAGAACTGAAATTAAGCACAGAGAATACCACAAACGGAAGCGCTCTGCACCTGAGGCTCATCGAAAGTCCCGCGTACATTTATACATACTATCGTGTATACCATGAGACGCGTGCTGTCGCGACATCTGTAATCGGCTGCAGCTTAAGAAGTCCGGAGAAGCTCCGCCCACGTGACCTAAATGCGGCAACCAATCACGTGGCACTGTTTTTTTGATGGTGGGGGCGGCACCTGCCGTCTGTCTCATGACGTCATCCTGGAGTGCGCGTCCATTGGCTCAGGCTTGCGCACAACCGCCTTCGAGGAGGGAATGCCGCTTCTAAAGTTGTATCTGGCGATGGTTTAGTCTGACAAGGTCTCGAGAAGCAGCTTCTGTCAGCACCCTTTCTGTTGCTTTGTCACAAAAGTAAATGTTCTTGAACTCGATTGTGCGATAGTTTCTTTTCCCCAAGCTTCTCCTGTATTGCCGCTGTTGTTTCTCTGCTTGTGATTTGTTGTGTTCAGTATGGAATGACATGGACATCGGGGGGGCGAGATCAGCTTTCGAGAAAGTGAAATGCGCACGATCGTACATCACTTCATCGGATGAGAAGCATATCGTGTTGCGTGAAGGCAAGACATCTCTCTCAATCATCACCATAAATAATGTTTTGGACAGCGAATATAACAATGCACACACAGTGGAAACGGCGCTTTTTTGCAATTCACCAGAAAATTGTGGTACTCGGCAATGTATGCTTCATAAATACACTGACAGCTAGCCAGAACGCGTGATGACACTTTGGCTGTAAAGAAAATGCCGTGAATTGTAGTGAAAAATTCAATAATCTTTTTCGCGATCTGAGTGGGTCTTGTATATTCAAGACGCGTTTAAAAGTCACAAAACAGCGGTATATCGCGTAGCCTAGCAGACGAGCATGGAGCTGAGTTATGGAGTCGTTCACTTTGTTGAAAGTTATCTGATGTTTTCATGCGTACCGTAATTACGGCTCTAAATTGGAGTATCTATATTACACACCCGCTATATTTTGTGCCGCTTACGAGGTTAAAAAAAAAAAAAAGACCGCATGTCTGCGTGCTTCACTGCAAATGTCGTCGAAAGACCGTAGTCTTCTGTCGGACTTTTTTCGCGCATAGCGTCGCATTTTCAGCCCAGCTTAGGAAACACTATGGCCTTTACAAATGCGTATCTGTATATTTTCTAGTAAAGAAACACCCCACCTTATGCTTACGAATTGATGCTGCGCCTCAGATATGCGTAATATTTGCCATTTGATCGACAATGTTCACAAGTATGAACGCAGCCACCAGTTCAAGATGGCTCGGCGTTCAGCCTTTTAACTTTGGCGGGGTGGCTGGGTCGTGTGACAGACATATCAAGTATTCTATGACGTAACGATTCCCGACTCGTCTGCCAAGCCGGGACGGCTCAGTGCCCTCCCATAGTAGAGTACCCCGTACTCTAAATCGTTACCCCCTTTTTCTAATCCCCCCCCCCCCCCCCCCAAGAAATATCCATGTTCATGTAAATGACGTCTGTTTTGTCATAATCGTTAGAGTATGTCTAAGAAGGAAATGTTCTGTTGAGTGTTATTGACGTTTGTGGAAATAAATTTTTTCTAAACAGAAAGACTATCGTCTTTAAAATTTGCATGCCAATAAGCGGCGCTGCGTTCGCGCTAACTTGTTGAACACGTCGAGCCGTGGCGCATGTGCAGCATGCACGCATGCGCAGCAAACCGCCGCGCACAAACACGAATAACACGCTCACCTCCTGTTTTGAGCAAGTGTCGCGCGTATAGAAATTCGAATTTTGCCGATCGAAAATCGGCGTTTTCGGCTTTACCATTTCGTGATTGTGCACTCTGACCGGTAGGTAAGCTTTCCATTTTGTCCCGCGAATATTGGTTGTCGGTCCCTTTAATGGTGGCGCAGTCACGTGTTCAAAGAAGACAACGCTCGTGTGGTGTGGCATTGTTAAAAACGATTTCGCTGCTTGATCGCATGAATCGAGGCAAAGATGTGGACAACAGTACCGTAATAACAAATCCAAATCGGACTTGAACGAGTGTTTTAGCGAAACATATGGTTTAAATGTATCGTTAAACAAATATGGCCGAGTTTGTTCCGACACGTGATCGGAAACACTGGAAGTCCGCGTAATTAATTGCACGTCGTAACTGTCCTTGCTCGCAGCAGCAGCAGCAGCAGGAGTCGCGCCGTCTTCCGACCGAGCAGCCCTGGGCCCCGTGGCACCGCCAGCCGCCGTCGTGGCGACGCCGCCCAGTCCGCCGAGCCCGACGGCCGCCGCCGCTGCCGTCGTGCAGCCGCCGGCCTCGTCGCTCGTGCTGGCCGCCCCGTCCAGCCTGGTGGCGGCCAAGGACTCGCGGTGGCTCCAGCTCGAGGTGTGCCGCGAGTACCAGCGGAACAAGTGCTCGCGCCAGGATGCCGAGTGCAAGTTCGCCCACCCGCCGCCCAACGTGGAAGTGCAGAACGGACGCGTGATCGCCTGCTACGACTCCATCAAGGTGAGCCAAAGAAAACGGATCGCCGCGCGTGTATCGCTCCGCGCGCGCGGATACGTTTTTAGACGCGCGGTGTGTCACCGAGTCGGCCGCGGAGGAGGTTGCTATTCCGGGAGGGCGACGCCTTTTTTCTTGCGCCCCCCTCTCGCTTGTTTAGTCTTGCTCGCGCAGAGCCTCTTTTTTGGCTCTGCAGGCAGGCAGGCGCTTTTCGTATTTCGGGAAACCCCGGTCCGGCAGCAGCCACTGGCCGACCAGCGCCATCTTGATCCGCGGTTGCCTACGCCCGCCCTTCCTTGCGCAACGAGCAACCGCCCTTGGGAGCTTGGCAAAGAGGATGTCCGTTCATTGCGAGCTCCGCGATATGGCGACGGCTCTTTTGTTTCAAAAGAAAATAATGGCGGTACCCCCTCGCCGCACGACCACCTGCGTCGCCGACTCAACGGTCGAGTCCTCCGTACATCTCGAATACTCGAGTAGTGTTTTACCGCCTCTACGGTGGCGACGCAACCTTGTCGTGGACTCCTGGGGTAGTGCGCGCATCTATAAACGGCATTCTCGTAGTTACCGAAAGTTGCCTATCGGGCGCTTAGGTATTAGGCAGCTTTAGTTTTAGAGTGCTTAGTGGAATAAAAGTGAGCATGCGCACGCTATCTTTTTTTTTTTTTTTTGACTTATCGTTACCCTTTTTGCGTGGTCTATCTACATAATGCACGTAAGACTTGGCGGTGGTTCGACACGACCGCTTCTAACCAAATTAGCTTAACGTTGAGGGATTCACTTCATTCGCGGCAAATAGCTGCGTAAAATGGTTTCGTTTATGCCGTCAAGCAGCTTATGCTTCAAGTATTGCGGAAAACTTGGCGAAGTTTTTGAGATCGCTTTCCGCTTCGGGCGTGTTCCTAGGCCTAAACTTGAGAATCGTGTAAACCGTTCCGCAACGTGTTAATTTCCGCTTTTGATGCTATTTATTTTTATTAGCACCAGAAAGTAGGGATGCTGCTGCATGCGGGGATCAGGCGAGCATTTATTTTCTGACTTTTCACTTTTTTTTTTTTTTTTGATGAAGTCACCCTTCCGCTAGAGGACGGGATACGGGAACGATATATGGCGCTGTAGACCATCTTACGTAAGGCATATACAGACGGAAGCACGTGTTTTCCTATTCTTTTCTTATGGTGACGCGAATTAAGGAATTAATGAGGGGATGAGACGTTGAATACACCAACCCGAACATTTCCATGCGTCGACTGTGTACTGCTCGTCTAGTTCTCAATACGAAACGGCAAGGTTAATAGCCCAATAAGGCGGTACTGAAACCTGTCCATTAGAACCCGCCCGTTAGATAGCAAGCTCGCTTTCCAAAAAAAAAAAAAAGTGCTGTAAGGTAACTCCCGCTGTCACGCTAACGCTAAGCTAAATCTGTCTGCTAGGCAGTTATAGTTTACCGGGCTTAGCGAAATAGCGGGATCGGAATGCGCATGTGCAGCACGCTAAACGACCTGTACCGTTCGCCGTCATGCGCGCTTTTAGCGTCGTGCTTCCGTGGTTTACGGAAATAAACGTAAAACATGGCGCTGGTTTCGGGCGCCCTCTTCGAACTGAAGTTGGCGTTGCCGTTGAAAGATTCACTTCGTTCGCAGTAAATGACTGTGTCATTAAAGAATGTGCCCGTCTTCTTGTGCCTTTGTCGTCGTTCTAAGCTCGCGCTATAACGATCGCTATTTACCTTCGTTCTTTCTAAAGAAATAAAAGTTAACATTGCGGTACGTGGGGAAGCCAGCATTTTCAGTTTTCTTTTCATTTTCAGTTTTTTTAATACGCGTTTGTCTCCCGCCAGGTCGCGCTGCTGTGTCAGTGTGAGGAGGAGAGATCTCAATAATAAAGAATGGCGAACGGGTTACTCGGTCACTTCTCTTCGTCAGTAAAGCCAAGACAAGCTAGGGACGAAGTTAAGCGCCCTTATGGAAATGTCTGCTTCGCCGAAGTTCATTGTTAAACTGTACTTCACGATACTTCGGGCTTCCGGGTTTGCTTGAACTGCTGCCACGTTTGAACAGTGCCACCAAAGCATGCCATACGACATCACTCTGAAATAATAGAGAAGTCTTCGAAATTGTGCGCATAAACGCTCTCTCCCGCTGTACTTAAACTATAGCTGTCCGCAACGAACGTTTGCGGTGCAATAACGCTATTGCCGCTATCGCGCTAACTATAAGCTAATATCGTCTAGGGACATCAGGTTCGTGAAAAACCTTCTTCGCGAGTAAGCGTTATGTTTTCGCCACGTAGCATATATGTATACCTTAGTCAGGAAATGCAGGGAGGTTTACTAAAGTAACTGCACGCTGTCCGCTTTGCCGCTCTACAAGTGTGGAATTATTTTGCGCGATTGTAGTTTTTGTCGTCCAAAATCAAATGGTTTCTCTTGGTCGCGCATCTCCTCTTCTTCCGCACTGAGAAAAAAAAAAAAGACGAAAAATCCGACTTCTGACGAATAAACGACCTTGAGACATCGTGTATAGGCCGGCGGTGCAATCGATGCTTTATAAAACGCGAGTGATGTGCAGAGTTTCCTAGATTAATTACGGATATTAGAGAGTTTTAGTACTGCGTACGCTGCGTACGTGGCGGCGTTGCGTACGTAAGGACGCCGCGTTCTGCGTAGTGCGCATGCGCAGACCGCAAAGCGCACGTATCGCGTTACGTACGCAGCCGCTACGTACGCACGCATCAGATGCGTGCGTGCGTACGTATGAGGTGATCGCGCCGCTCTCGAACAAGTTTGCGACAGCGCGAGACTTCGTTTTGCAAAATGGCGGCATCGAAGGCAAGTAGAGTGTACTAGAATGGGGGAGTGGGTCCACTGAAGGCTCCACGCTGAGGCGTTTTTTTCGGAAAATCCAGGTGGCGCTACCATCGCCTTCACCTGAAGACTTAGCCGTGGTTGCCATGGTTACAAGTCCCCTTTGCCACGCGGTTCGCGACGGGTGGGTAGTCTGATAGTTCGCGCGGTTCGCGTGCTGCTCGCGCGTCTGGCGCAGTCTCGCAGCGTTGTTGCTTCGTTCGTGCGTGCGTGGCCGTGAACGGCGTCGCACCGTGCTTCCGCGCCAGTTCAACAAAATCTAAATGTTTATATTGCGAAACGCCCTGCTCGTATAGGTAGTCACGCACGCAAGTACCGTGATTTCCACGGTAATTGTTTACAATCAAGAGCGTAAGTTGAATTTGGCTTTTGCGAAAACGTACGCATCGAAAGTGTAATATGAGCATTAACTGCGATGCTTTTAAAAATGTCAATATAACTGGGATATATAAGTAAGTTTGCGTTTGGTGCAAATTTAGACTCACGGCAGCAAATTGAATATGATGCAAGACTAAAGTTACCAGCTGTTATCACGAGAATTAAAGCTAAAGTATGCGAACCCTTCTGCAAATTTGCAGCTATTCGTTAGGGACGCGTGATATTATTGAAAAACTGAACCAGTCCTGTTGCGATTACGTGAGGGTGTTGGCAAAGGAAGTTTAGTCACATCGGACGGCAACTGTGCTATTCGTAGGAAATGACTTATAGGGCGGACGCACGTCCGTCGCGGTGGTTTTATGATGAGTTTTTGTTCGGCATCTAGTGCTGGTATACGTTGTAGGTATTAATGAAATATGTTATATTTTACCTTTTCTCTTCGTGCCTGCGGTACGTGTCCATGCAAACATTTGTTCGAAACATGAACGTGTTTTCACCTATAGATAGGAAGTCTGAAAGACACCAATAAAGAAGTGATATGCGCAAAATATTTTATTTTAAATTGACTGCGCAAGCTTTTCGCATAAATATAAAAAACAAAATAAATATCATCGAAAGACTTCGACACCGTCGCTCAAGGAACGTCAGGCTCTATGTTGTCCTGCTAAGCTTTAAGTGTTTTGCTCTCGCTCGTTTCGAAGCGTTTTCCCTGTTCATTCCCTTCACTAAGAAGTGAAGGCGAGTGAGCACGTAGAACGAAACGAGCTTTGTGCTCACTGCATCTTTGTGGTCTGGACAGCCGACCGCTTTCGAGTTCAGAAAATTAGTTTTCACCAATGAAAGGATGTCAGAGATGCTATCTGTGTGCAACATGGAAACACTGAAACATTCAGTAAACAAGTTTTCAAGTGAGGCAATGAAATCATACAGCTGTCGTGAGGGGTACAGAAGTCCACCCCAGTCGCATTGCTCCGTGAATTGCGAAGGGAGCTGTTCAGCAACCGCGACAGCTTTCTCAAACAGAAGCACTTCTTTGCATTGTACGCATGCCAACTTCAATACACACTTTCTGGCCACGTACCCTGCTGTGTAGTAAATGAGTCTCGAGTCACTCTTCTCCAAAGTCACATCGATGTGGTCAGCAAACTTTTCTGGCATCGTGGCAATCGTGCTTTCGACCTCGCCAAGTTTTCCCTGTGATATAAGATCATCAATTTTTTTGTGCGTGACCTTTAGACCCTGTCTGTCATGCACAGTGACAAGAGCGTTTATCATGTCAGGGTTTGCGTTTGCGCTGTCCACACTGTGCGCCAAGTTATAAAAGGACAAGCAGTTGACGGTTATTAGAAACTCATCCGGAGAGGGGTGCGCGTTGCAGCCACTTGACTGGCGAACGATGCCGAAGAAATGTTCCACGGGATCGGTGCTAAGTCGAGATGTCATGAGATATTTGAATCCAACGCTCTCTGTCAGGTACTTCAGCAATGAAAGGGTATTTGCTATAGTGACCCTAAAACCTATGGCAGTGGACTCGCTGAGAAAGTGCCGCTTGTTGTCACTGAATGATTCCCAGTCATTCAGGAAGTCCAGAAAATTGGACAGGAATGCCACGTCTGTAGAAGCTGGTCTCAGCGCTTCGGCCCGAAACCTGGAAGTCATCACGGTGATCAGTCGTTGGATCTTCCTGCAAAATAAACAAAAAGAATGTATGTCAGAAGAGCGCTCATCATGCGTTTGAGATGTTTACGATTACACTTAATTC